GAGCTAAAAATTTCCTATCACCTTGTGATGCGATAGCTGTATAAAACCATAGTGGAAGGCATTACTCCCACCTTTGTAGTGATGCTGGGATAAGCAAACTTACTATAAAAGTGTAGCACATACAATTGGGTATCATACATGATATTTGATAATGATAAAAGTGACGTATTGTTTTGTAAAGACTATACTCTTATTTTAGAAGTTATATCTTCTTACAAGAAAGAATTTATTGTAAAAATAAACATGCTATGTTACACCAGCAGCAACCTAACATATCCTGTGTTTACCAGATCCGTCTTTTTTCTTTGTGTATATATGGTACTGGAGATTGACTGAACTACACCTTTAGCCTTTTTAACTTTGAGACAGGATTTCACTAAGTTGCTAAGGGTCCTGCTAAGTTGCTAGAGCTGGCCTCAAACTTGCAATTCTCCCATATCAGACCTACCCCACTGAGATTACAGGTGTATGCCTGTATGACTACCACAGCTCTTGATTTCATGAAGAGGCTGCCATAGGGGCTGGAGCTCATTGGCAGAGCATTTGCCTAGCATGTGCAAGGCCCTGTGTTCTATCCTCAAAACCACTAAAAATTAATTTAAAAAGTGACTTCTATGGTTTGAATAAGTGTCTTCCAAAGGCCCATGTATTAAAAACTTGGTCACCACCCTGTGGCCCTATTGGGGGAGGTGGTAAAACTTTTAGGAGAAGGGAGACCTAATGGATGGAAGTTAGTCATTGGGTGTATGTCCTCCTAGGAGATTGTGGGACTCTGATCTCTTCCTCTTCCTCTCATGATTTTCAGCAGCCATGAAATAAGCAACTTTCTCCTCCACACATTTCCATCATGATGTACTGCCTTACCAGACGCTTAAAAGCAACAGTCCAACTGGCTATGGACTGAAACCTGTAAATCTCTGAGCCAAAGTAAACCTTTCCTTCTTTAAAACAACAAAACAAAGCAAAAAAATATATATATATGCCGCAGTCCGGCTGCAGCAAACTAACCGGGGGGGGGGGGGGGTGACGAATAACTTGTGAACATTGATACAGCAGGAGTAGGAGCCGTTTATTGTAGGACAACAGAGGTATTTATACATTTTGCACAGCTTATCTTAATTAGCATAAACTAGATACATCAGTCAACCAATAAGGAATYTCCACACTTAATGGCTCGCTTTTGTTACTTCTCAAACCACTCCCTCTGGCATTTTGCCAGGCACCATCCAGACTTGTTTACGAACTCTAACATTTCTCTGGCAAAATACCAGGTGTTATTTTGACTTGTTTACAGACCTTAACATATATATATATATATATATATACACACACACACACATACATATATGTATATATATTTATATATGTATATATATTATAGTACTGGAGATTGAACCTAGTACCTTGCATGTGCTAGGCAAACACTCTTCCCAGAGCTACACCCCCACCACTTTTTATATTATTTTGAGGCAATATCTCACTAAGTTGCCCAGGCTAGCCTTGAATTTAGCCTCCAGAGGAGTTAGGATTACAGCAACCTGTGCACTACCATGTCCTACTCCTTTCCCCATTTTTAAACTGATTGTCTCAGGTACTTTTTACAGTAATGGAAAGCTAACTAACACAGAAGACATGTTGATTGGTTGGCCTATACCATCTAGGCTTATGTAAGTACACTCTAATGTTTGCACAATGAGGACATTGCCTAATGACACATTTCTCAGAACTGTCATTAGCTGACATATGACTGTACTTTGTTAAGGTAGTCTTAGAAACTCACACACTCTCCTGCTGGGAACTTTAGTTTACACAGGTTTCAATTTCTAATATTCAGCATTATAACATGGAATATGGATGCCAGGTAGGTTCATTGTCTCGAAAATTTGAAGGACGAAATCCACAGACCCAAGGATGAGAGCAAAGTAACAGGGTTTATTAGAGTAATAGAAAGAAAGCAGAGCTTCCAAAGAGGAAGGGATACCAAGAGAGGGATGCCAATGAGTGTCTGTTGTCTATGGGTTTTTATGGGCTTGATCTGTCCCTGTAGAGGATTGGTGGGATATAGAATTTAGAAAGGGGGCCAATCAACTCTATATTGCCTTCTTCAGCAAATCTGAAGAAAAGTAATTTCTAAGCTTTAATCAGCACAAGAATGGGGGTGAGGGTCTGTTTGGGGTCAGTGGTGTCTAGAGGCTATTACGGAACTGTCCTTGTGGCTAGGAATAGCTGGGGTCAGAATGATTTCCCACTTCTTACTTCCTCCTTTTCTTCTCTGAGACCCTTTTCCTGGATACCTATGAGTGGTCTATCTTTTTGTCTCAGCATGAGTGTCAGTGGGACACTCCCAACTTAAGTCCTGGCAGGACCAGTACAGTGCCAGATTTAAGGAAGTGGTCACTCTTGTTTCCTGCAAGTGCCAAGTGTGAGTGTCCCCATAAGAATAGGGCCTCTGTAGTTGTGTTGGAGTGTTTACAGAAGTCCTGCTTGAAGGAGGATGGCAAGTTGGCAGCCATCCCAGAAACTTAGGGAGACCTTATCTCAAAATTTAAAAATAAGCTGGCTCAATGGTGCCTGCCTGTAATCCCAGCAGCTCGGGAGGCTGAGACAGGAGGATTGCATGTTCAAAGCCAGCCTCAGCAAAAAGTGAGGTGCTAAGCAACTCAGTGAGACCTTGTCTCTAAATAAGATACAAAATAGGGCTGTGGATGTGGCTCAGTGGCCAAGTGCCCCTGAGTTCAATCCCTGGTACCCCTCAAAAGGGCTGTGGATGTAGCTCAGTGGTAAAGCACCCTGGGTTGAATTCCCAGTACTGAAAAAAAAAAAGAAGTCCTACTTGAGTACTTCCTTTAAAATCATCTTTAGATATATTTTGGAGCTGATTATAAAATGTAGTTGCCAACCACCTGAACCCAAGGCAAACAAGGTATTTCTCACAACACACAGGTATTTCTCACCATCTCAAAATTCATCCTCTTTCCTTAAGGTAGAGGTTTATAAACTTGAGTTCTCTCCACCACCCCTACACTGCCTTGTTCCGCTCTATCAATTAATGAGTTAATTCCCATTCTAGGTGCTAGGGATTTAGAGTTGAATAAGACACCAAAAATGGTGGGGAAGCTTAATCATTATTATTATTCTTTAAATTTGTATTTATTTTTATTATTTATTTTTGTGATACTGGGGCTTAAACACAGAGCCTGTTGCATGCTAGGCAAGCACTTTATCACTGAGCTATATCCTTACCCCTTTTTAATTTTTATTTTGAGATAAAGTCTAGAAAGTTGCCCAGGCTGGCCTCAAATTTATAATCCTCCTGCCTCAGTTTCCTGAGTAGTTGGGATTATAGGTACTTACTGCCAAGCCCAAATTCACTTTTAAAAACTCAATTGCTATAAAATGTGATAAGGGCTATATGAAAACAAGGACCTAAGAGAACTAACAGAGTAGTGACTCCCAGGCTGCCAAGGAGACAGAGTAAGAAGATGGTATCAACACTGCCTTTTCAACAATGAATGATTGTTAATTATATGAGAAGGAGGAAGGAGGAAGGGTGACAGGTTGGATGAAAAAGGGTGAGGAGTAGAGTGACATCAAATAGCTTGGGTGATGGGTAAATGTGGTGCCAATCACTAAGACAGGGAAGCCCAAACGAGGAAAAATGTGAAGGAAAACAGAGTTGATTCAGTATTGGACATACTGAATCTGAGTTGCCTGTGGACATACAGGGAAAGACGATAAACACAGTGTTTCCAAAGTACATTCCAGGAATCTTAGTTCCCAGAGAAATGAATATTCTAGGAAAAAGAGGGGAGCAGAATCTGTTGAAGGTTRTTCTAGCCCAGGTTCCTGAAAAGACAAAGCCTGGAGCAAGGATTATATGCTGATGTTTTTAAAAGAGGTGCAAACCCAGAACATGGGAAATAATGAAAAATGCCTGGAGCAACCACAGGCTGTTGGCAGCAAGTGGTTGGCCTCAGAACTCCACGGTGGAATCAAACTGCAATAGTCAAGGAAAAAGCAAAAGGCCAGGGCATCAGGACTCAAGCAGAATTGAGAGAATCTGAGAGAACATATAGAATGTGTTCATTGCAGATGTCAAATAAGTTTAGGAAATGCTGGGTATTGCATACCCGCTCTTGGAAGCTTGTAATGCATATTAGCCCACAGACAATTCTAGAAACACTTTGCCATCTGAGATTGGGTTCTATATAAACAACACAGGATTTTTGTTGTTGTTTGTTTTATAAAACCACTGAGCCACAACCCCAGCCCTTTTTATATTTTATTTAGACGTGGTCTCGCTAAGTTGCTTGGGGCCTTGCTAAATTGCTGAGGCTGGCTTTGAACTCACAGTCCTCCTGCCTCAGACTCCCAAGTCACTGGAATTACAGGCTTGTGCCACTGCACCCAGCTCAGGAAACACAGATTTCTTGTGGTTCTAGAGTATGGGAAGTCCCAGGTCAAGAGACCACATCTAGTAAAGGCTTTTTTCTTTTCTTTTTTTTTTTTTTGAGGTACAGAACCCAGAGGTGCTATACCACTAAGCTATATTCACAGCCCTTTTTCATTATTTTTTTATTTTGAGATACGGTCTCACTACCTTGCCCAGGCTGACCTCAAACTCTTAATCCTTTTGCCTCAACCTCCTAACTTGCTAGGATTACAGGAGTGTACCACCACACCYAGCCTGATAAAGGATTTCTTGTTGCACTATCTGGAGGCATAAGAAAGAAGAGCAAAAGAAACCAAGTGATTCAACTTGCAGCCTCAAACCCTTTTATAATTGGCATTAACCCATTCATAAGGGTGGAGCCCCCATGACCTAAACACCTGTTCGACTCCATCCCTCAACACAGTTGCACTGGGGAATTAAGTTTCTAGCACATACTATGGGGGCATAGATTTAAATAATAGCAACACCAAAGAAGATAGTGGTGGCCAGGAGACAGTGAAGGATGTGGGCTCCAGGGAAGATTTTCTTGGCTTTTCTTTGCTTCTAGGACCAGAACAGCCAGATTGAGCATGGTTTGGGATATCCAACACCATTCGTTGTTGCTGTCCATTTGGTGATGTTGGCCTTCATGCCCTGGAAATGCCCGATGCTGTCTCAAAAACAMGGAGAGGGGGAGCCCTGGAATAGGAATCATCTCTGAAGGAATGGCAGCTGGAGGATGACCCAAGTTCAGCCACAGGGAGGCTCTTGGGTTCTTCCTCTCCAAATACTCTATGCCAGGCAGCCCCTGGGCATCCTCTGGTGAGAGGCTCCCCTCTGCCCTCCTTCCCTACCCAGATCCTTCAAATCTTTTTTTTTTTT